GGATAGACGAGGCGGCGATGGGAGCTAGTATGCTGACAGTAGTTTTTATAAGAGAGGTGATCGATGTAGCAACGGTGTGACCATCACACTTACTCAGAGACTTTCGCTTTGAATCAGTAACCCAGACGCAGCGTAGGGCCAATAACGCCTTGAGGGACAAAGATGGGGTGGCAGGGGTCGAGTGAAATATGTGAACCTGGGAGAGGGCAGACGGATCTTACGGGACAAGAGAGAGCCTGTGATAAGACCTAGGGAATGAGGGTTGCGTAACAATTTAGCAGACTCTGATCAGCATTCTCAACACAAGGATGAAGAAGGGTGAGAATGCCAGTGTGGAGGGTGGAGGGTTCTCATTAAAGCCGCTGAGAAAGGGCACACCGTACCACATTTAATTAAGCAAGTAAAAAATGTGACGATGAAGGCATGATAGAAGGATATAGAAAATGTGAATAGGCCGGGTAGAAGAGGATATACGACAAATCTGTAATTTTTCTAATAATTGAGTTTTAATTTTAATGAATAATAATATTTTTAAACGCTGTAGTTCATGTCGTTTTATCTTATCCGTTTGATCTATCCTCTGATGTTCCCTGTTTCAAATGACAGTAACTCGCTAATTACTTAAATCGTTGTAACAGCCAAAAAAACCCCTCCGATACGTTTTAAATTGGACAGTTGAAGATGTTCTTAAGTGGCTTCATAAATATGCTGGAGTCCAAGGAGAGAAATATGCTTATCTATTTGAAGAAAACGGTGTGACGGGTCTGTGTGGTGCATTTTACCATTAAGTATAGGTTCCTGTCTTCGAATGATGACTGATGAATGGCTTCTCAGGATGGGTATTATGGACGCTGAAGACAGGTATCTTAAACTTTTTTTAACATTTAGAAATGTTCTCATGGGGCATATATACCGAATGCGCTTGAAGTATGACGCTGTCGACTTAAGCAATATGCTAAAAAGCAAATAAATGTATATCGTTTAATAAATCATTAAAACCATAATATCTTTTTTACTCGAAAAAGGAGTTCTTTTCCTACTCTGCTAATCCACTTTTAGCCACTATGTCTTCAGGAGCAGATTGTTCTTCCATTCCTGTTTACAAATTGGGGGATAGTGGTATTGAGATTCCTATGACTTTGCATAGAGATAACAGAGCCCGTCTGTGCCAGCGTCTGAGAGCTCGCTGGCATGATTCGTACCCTGAACAACAATTGAAGGATGTATACATACTTTTGCAAGGTGGGATCTCGCTTACTCGTGACAGTTCAGATACTGATATTATCTTTCGACAAGTGAGTCGCTTTAGTGGGATGGTTCTTTTTCTGCATATAATTAAGCACAAAACTACAAAATTTTGCTATATTATCTAGGAATCATTCTTCCATTGGACATTTGGTGGTCTCGAGCCTGATTGG